GACAGAGTTTTTGCTCTGTCACCCAGGCTGGAGTGCAGTAGCGCAATCTTGGCTCACTGAAACCTCCGCCTCCCGGGTTCAAGCGATTCTCCTGCCTCAGCCTCCTGAGTAGCTGGGATTACAGGGGCTCACCACCACGCCCAGCCAATTTTTTTTTTTTTTTTTCAGTAGAGACAGGGTTTCACCATGTTGGCCAGGCTGGTCTCAATCCCTGACCTCAGGTGATCCACCCACCTTGGCCTCCCAAAGTGCTAGGATTACAGGTGTGAGCCACCGCTGCACCTGGCCCCCTGTTTGTTTTTTTGAGACAGGGTTTCACTCTGTCACTAGGCTGAACTGCAGTGGTGCAATCTCACCTTACTACAACCTCTGCCTCCTGGGCTCAAGTAACCCTCTCACCTGAGTCTCCTAAGTAGTTGGGACTACAGGTGTGAGCCACCACACCCTGTTCATTTTTGTATTTTTTGTACAGTTGGGGTCTCACTATGTTGCCCAGGCTGGTCTGGAACTCCTGGGTTCAAACCATCTGCCCAACTCAGCCTCCCATAGTGCTGGGATTACAGGTGTGAGCCACAGCACCTGGCACGGTAAATGTTTGTTGAATGACTCTGTAGAATAATGGAGCAATCATATATTCCGAGCACTGGTGACCTAACCTGCTCTTCCTGACACTTTGTGCCTCTGGGCAAGCTCCTACTCCTCCCAGGGGGCTGAACTGGATGATATCAGAGCTCATTTCCTCTCCCAGGGCCTTATGTGTGGGTCTTCTCTGACCTTCATCTCTTCCTCCCTAGGACACAGCAGGGCAAGAGCGGTACCGGACCATCACCACCGCCTACTACCGGGGCGCTATGGGCTTCATTCTCATGTATGACATCACCAATGAGGAGTCCTTCAATGCAGTGCAGGACTGGTGAGTGCATCCCACTTGCTCTTTTTTTTTTTTTTTTTTTTTCTTTTCTTTGAGAGAGGGTTTTATTCTGTCACCCAGGCTGGAGTGCAGTGGCATTATCAGGGCTCATTGCAGCCTCGACCTCCTGGGCTCAAGTGATCCTCCTGTCTCAGCCTCCCAAGTAGCTGGGACTACAGGTGCATACCACCACACCTGGCTCATTTTTTGTATTTTTAATTGAGATGGGATTTCGTCATGTTGCCCAGGCTGGTCTTGAACTCCTTGGCTCAAGCGATCTGCCCACCTTGGCCTCCCAAAGTGCTGGGATGATGGGCATGAGCCATCGCTTCTGGCCTTGCACACTCATTCTGGGGCCATTGTCTCTGAGCCAAACTTTCTTCAAAAAATAACAAATAAGGCCGGGCGCGGTGGCTCAAGCCTGTAATCCCAGCACTTTGGGAGGCCGAGACGGGCAGATCACGAGGTCAGGAGATTGAGACCATCCTGGCGAACACAGTGAAACCCCGTCTCTACTAAAAAAAATAAAAAAAAACTAGCCGGGCGAGGTGGCGGGCGCCTGTAGTCCCAGCTACTCGGGAGGCTGAGGCAGGAGAATGGCGTAAACCCAGGAGGCGGAGCTTGCAGTGAGCTGAGATCCAGCCACAGCACTCCAGCCTGGGCGACAGAGTGAGACTCCGTCTCAACAACAATAACAACAAAAATAACAAATAAAAGGTAGGAGTCTGGGAAGGATTTCAAATGGAAAAGTAAAACTATAACCATGTAGAAAAAAATATCTGCAAGCTTGGGTGGAGAATATAGAGACTATAAGGAGAGTTGGCATGGCCGGGCGCGGTGGCTCACACCTGTAATCCCAGCACTTTGGGAGACTAAGGCAGGTGGATCACCTGAGGTCAGGAGTTCGAGACCAGCCTGACCAAAATGGAGAAACCCCATCTCTACTAAAAATGCAAAAATTAGCGGGGTAGTGCATGCCTGTAATCCCAGCTACTTGAGGCAGGAGAATCGCTCAAACCCAGGAGGCAGAGGTTGCAGTGAGCCAAGATTGCGCCATTGCACTCCAGCCTGGGCAACAAGAGCAAAACTCTGTCTCCAAAAAAAAAAAAAAAAGGAGAGTTGGCATAGGTTAGAGGTTGCAAACATTTCAATTTTCTGCTCAGAAGTAATAACTGTTTTGTTTTTTTTTCTAGAAATAATAACTTTAAAAAAAATTTCTAGGCTGGGCACAGTGGCTCACACCTGTAATCCCAGCACCTTGGGAGGCCGAGGTGGGTGGATCTTGAGCTCAGGAGTTCTAGACCATCCTGGCCAACATAGTGAAACCCTGTCTCTACTAAAAGCACAAAAAATTACCCAAACGTGGTGGCTCATGCCTGTAGTCCCAGCTATTTGGGAGGGTGAGGCAGAAGAATCACTTGAACCTGGGAGGCAGAGGTTGCAGTGAGCCTAGATCGCACCACTGCACTCCAGCCTGGGCAACAGAGCAAGACTCTATCTCAAAAAAAGAAAATTTCTGGGCTGGGTGGCTCATGCCTATAATTCCAACACTTTGAGAAGTCAAGGCAGACAGATACTCCAGCCTGGGCAACAGAGCCAGACTCTATCTAAAAAAAAAACAACACAAAACACAAAAGCAATAATGGGTCAATGGGGGCTGGAGTGGGGTGAACGAGGGGCACATGGGGGAAAAGCATGGTGGGGAGGATGGAGGGCCAAGCTTCAGGGTCTTTCTCCCTCGGACAAGGACACGGGTTCCACACCAGCCCGTCAGGGTGGGGCTGGGATCCTCCAAGCAATAACTTGTCCCCCTCTGGCTGCATCCTATAGGTCCACCCAGATCAAGACCTACTCGTGGGACAATGCCCAGGTGCTGCTGGTAGGAAACAAGTGTGACATGGAGGATGAGCGGGTGGTGTCATCAGAACGTGGCCGGCAGCTAGCTGACCACCTTGGTGAGTGCCCAGCTGGGCCAGAGACCCACAAGGCCAGAAAAAGGACACTAAGAGAGGGGAGGGCTCACACCCAAGGTCTTACAGCTAAGCCAGGTAATTCACACTTTCTGCAAACTAGCCTTCATCCAGGAGCCATTTGTGTCGGATCTTGAGGGATGTGTAGGAGTTCACCATGCAGAAAGTTTAAGGATTGATTCTGACACTCATTGTCCAACGCTTTGTTGGGTGTTGCTGGGCTCGAGAGGCATCTAGGGAGGCCTCAAGGGACCCCTGAGGTGGAGGGAGGGACCTGGATGAGAGGAGCCCATGAGAGGAGCCAGGCTTCCTGGAGTGGTGGGCAGTGGACTCTAGAGCTTGGAAGAAGGTCTTTCAGGCAGAGGAAGTAGCTTGGGCAAAGGCTTGCGGTGAGAAAGATCCTGTGTGTTTTGGTGATAATTTCACAAGACTGAAACATGAGGGTCAGCTGGAGGAAATGTAGCCGATCAGAGAGGGCCTCAACCATATGCTGAGAGGCTGGGACTCTTTGGAGGGCAATAGGGAGCCACAGAGGGTGTGTGAGCAGGGGGAGGTCACGGCTGGATTTGAGTGTCTGAGGCTTCCAGGGCCAGTCTATGGTGCTGGGCTGGACGCTGCAGGGCATGTCTTGCCAGGTCCTAAGGACAACGAGACACAGTTTTCGGAAGGAAGGGCAGGAGGCCAGGTGCACTGGCTCACGCCTATAATCCCAGCACTTTGAGAGGTGGAGGTGGAGGATTACTTGAGCCCAGGAGGTCGAAACTGCAGTGAGCTATGATCACGCCACCATACTCCATCCTGGGCAACACAGCAAGGCCCTGTCTCAAAAAAAAAAAAAAAAAAAAAAAAAAAAAAGCAGGAAATGCAGAGCTGACCCAGTTCAACGTTGCTTCTCTGTGGGATTTGTCAGTACCTTCAATAACCTACTTGGCACTGGGAATCTCCAGTGTTTCCTTTCCTCAGAGAAGCATCTCTGGGAGTTGGCATAGGGCGTGGCCAGGGTCCTCATCTCTGCCTTCCCTGACCACAGGGTTCGAGTTCTTTGAGGCCAGCGCCAAGGACAACATCAACGTCAAGCAGACCTTTGAGCGCCTGGTGGACGTCATCTGCGAGAAGATGTCCGAGTCATTGGACACGGCAGACCCTGCGGTCACAGGCGCCAAGCAGGGCCCACAGCTCAGTGACCAGCAGGTGCCACCTCACCAGGACTGCGCCTGCTGAGAGCCACCCCAACCCCTTTCCCCTCTTTCCCGTCTTCCCCACCTTCCCCCAACTACCTGGGCCTGACCTGGCCCCTACCAGCCATGGGCACAAGACCCCTACTCCTGACTTAGCCCGTCACCCTTATTTATTATTGTAGCTATTTATTTATTTATCGAAGATGTCCCCCAGGGGTCCGGGCTCCCCTGCCCACCCCAAGCCCTGCCCATCCTGTACATATAGCCCTTTCCCCACTCAGCCGTGGTGTCTCGTGGCCCTGTGAACTCACCACTCACCCTCCTGAACCCCCTCGCCTTTTTTTTAAATTCACCCCCAACCACAGTTGTCAGTTGTGAAGAGGGGGCCAGATGACACCCTAGAGCAGGCTGATCGGGCAATGGGAGGTGGCCAGGCCTGCCAGTCCCTCGGCTCTGCCGCGGTGGGCCGAGGCCGCTGTTGGGGGTTTCCCTGTGCGGACCATGGGGGTCAGAGTCTGGCCTGCCGGGCTCCTCTCCCCCAGTTTTCTCTTTTGGTGGGGGGCTGTGCTGTGGGTATTCACCACCCTGGGACCCCTCCCCCTACCCACCAGACCTGTTCTGACCTCATGAGTGTCAAACGTGCCCCCCAGTTCCTTAGGAGATGTCAAGACAACACTACACACACCCAATAAAGCGAATGGACCACGTGTGTTCCTGTGAGCACCGGGCCCTGCCCACCCTGGTTTTGACCATCCACAGCATTTTCTTTTGTTATTTTTATTTTTCAATATAAATAGAGACAGGGTCTTGCTATGTTGCCCAGGCTGGCCTCGAACACCTGGCCTCAAGCAATCCTTCCACCTCAGCCTCTTGAAGGGCTGAGATTACAGGTGTGAGCCACTGCGCCCAGCCAGCAGTTTCAATTACATTACAGAGATAATTTAATGGCATTTCCATAGTTCACGACCAGGGAAGGAAACACAGAGGCTGCCCGGCCCTGCCTGAAACTTTTGGGGGCCGACTCCAGGCCTGAGCCTGCTCTGAGGGGATCGGCCACATCCCCGCCTTAGTCCCAGGACCTGAGGGAGCTCTGGATCGGTGGCTTGGCCCAGAGCCAGGTGGACGGCAGTGTTGAGGGGTTGGGGCTTGGGACTGGTTGGCAGGGTGAGCCCCGTGCTGAGTCCCAAGTGGGACATCTTGGTCACAGGTCGTATGAGGTTCCTGCTGAGAAGGGCTAGGGGATGATCATCCATCTTCACGGGTGTGTTCCAGTTGGGGAAACTGAGTCCCAGAAGTGCGCTTGGGAAGGACGGCTCAGCCCAATGCCCGGGAGCTGGAGTGGCGCTGGGACGTGGCCCAGGACCCGAGCTCGCTGCAGGGGCCCATTCCCCTTCTGGTAGAGGGGATGGTCTGCCAGGAGTCAGTCTTGCATCTAGTCCCGGAGGTGGACAGTTCAGTCTGCTCGGGTGTCCAGGGCCACACAGCCTGGGGATGTCAGAGGAACTGGGCTCTGTCCACACAAGACAAGGCATCTGGTCAGAAGCCTGGCTCATCCCTCCTGGTCCCTCCTAACTGAGCCCTATCCTACCTGCCCTCGGGCCAGACGTCAGCCCTGCTCAACAGACATGGCAGGGACCTGGCTGAGGTCGCATCAGACAGCACAGAAGGGCTGGGTTTTTTTTTTTTTTTGAAACGGAGTCTCGCTCTGTCACCTAGGCTGGAGTGCAGTGGCATGATCTCGGCTCACTGCAGCCTCTGCCTCCTGGGTTCAAGCGATTCTCCTGCCTCAGCCTCTCAAGTAACTGGGATTACAGGTGGGTACCACTAATTTTTTGTATTTTTAGTAGAGAAGGGGTTTCACCAGATTGCCCAGGCTGCTCTCGAACTCCCAATCTCAGGCAATCCACCCGCTTGGGCCTCCCAAAGTGCTGGGATTATAGGCATGAGCCATGGCGCCCAGCCGGGGCTGGGTCTTAACGGCTAGTGAGGAGCTCTCCACCAGCCCACTGTTGGGTAAAGGTTGCCTGGAGCACAGGGGACTCCCACTCTCCAGGGTGGCTGGCTACACTGCCACTTGGAGCTCACACGTGTAGCCCCCTGGGGAGTCCCCTGGGTGCCTGGTATGCCCTCCACACTCACCCGGTACTTCAAGTACGACAGGTACGTGTCCCAGCCCAGCGTCAGGCCGTTGATGTAGGTGACTCGAAATTGGGGGGGCACGAAAAGGAAGTTCACGAACTGTGCAGCAGGCCACACGCACCAGTCTGCCTGCGGGGAAAGGCGGGGAATGAGGGGCGGGGCCGGAGCTGGGTGGGGGCGGAGCGTCCATGAGGGGGCGAGGCCGGACAGGGGCAAGGGGCGGGTGCTCCCACCTTGTAGAATTCCCAGAACTTCTCCCGCAGCTCCTGGCAGCTCTCACCCACTGTCTGACCCTCCATGCAGCCAAGGCCTGGGAAGGAAGCCAAGAAATCAGAGTGTTAGAGGCCAGGAAGTACTGTTGAGATGACAAGATGGGCTGACGATGGAGGGCGCGGGGTTGGGCCCCTGAGAGCCCGCGCCCCCCACCCCGGGCAGAGGGACAGGGACTTTCAGATGGGAAGGACAGAGAATTAGGGTAGCTGGTGTAGGGACAAAACAGAGCAAGTCAGTCCCAGTGACAGACAGAAGTCATAAACATATAAACACGTGCCCCAAAGGAGACACACCCTGTAGTTGAGTCAGTTGTATTACTTTTCCATCACAGACCAGGAAGCCGGCCTGGGAGGTGGAGAATGAGAGACTCCTCTATTAATACTGCTGTCTTTACCGAGCCTAGGGCTGGCACCGTTGCACCTCATGAAGTCCAGCCTCAATTTCTCTTCGTTCAGGTCTCGGAGCCTTTGCATTAGCTGTTCCCTCTGCCCGCTGGTTCCGTTTTCACGTCTCAACTGAGTGTCGTCCCCTTCTTTTTTTTTGTCTTTTTTTTTTTTTTTTTTTTTTCCTTTTTTTGTGGAGAACAGGGTCTCGCTATATTACCCAGGCAGGTCTCGAACTCCTGGGCTCAAGCTATCCTCCCGCCTCTGCCTCCCTGAGAGCTGGGATTACAGGCGTGAGCCACCGCGCCCGGCCTTTCTTTTTTTGTTGTTGTTGTTGTTTTTGTTTTTTGTTTCTTTTTGTCGTCCCCTTCTTTGGGAAATGCTCTCAACCTCCCGCCCAGGGCGGCCCCAGCAGATACTGTAGGAGGGACGAGGTCCCTCTTACACTCGCCAGTGTTCACATCGGCCGAATCTGTCCCGTCCCCGCTGTGACCTGGCTCCTAGTTCGGGGCCACCCAAACAGGGGGCACATTGGAAATGCACCTCTGCATCCTTCTTAACACAAAGCTGGCTCCACTCCTCGCCACCTATGAGAGGCAAAGCCTAGGCTTAGGAGGCTCCTTACCCAAGAAGTACCAGACGCCCAGCAAGGGAGAGGCTACCAGCTGATCCACGAGGACCTTCTTGAGGACATTTGGGAAGCCTCGGAGGCCAGACGCAGGGAATAGACGGTCCAGCGACAAGTACCAGTAGTGCAGGAAGGGACCCATGCTGCAGCCCACCGCAAACATGCTCGCTATAAGAGTGTAAGTCAGGGGGCTGGGTTAGGCCGGCAAATTCTCCAGCCCACTCCCTCCCTCCCTGCTTAAGGCCTGGGTAAGCCCAATGCCATCCCGGAGCCTCAGCCTCACCGAGAAAACCGGAAGAGCCCACCCGTGCATTCTTCCACTACAAGCCCCACCAGCAGGCGTGGCTCCAGAGGCTCCTAGGTAGTGGGTAGAGACCCCCGGGGGTTGGGAGGTGATGAAGACCCAGGGCTGCGGGAGACAGACACCCGGAAGAGGCGCGGTCAGGGCAAGGGTCCTGCGGGGGACTGAGGCCACGGGTCAGGGGTCACGGCCAGCAGTCGGGTATCGGGATCAAAGGTCGCCCGGGGTGAAGGGCTAAGTAGCGTGGCGTCCTCACCGGAGCGCCGCGGGTCGAAAACCTGGCCGGGCCGGGCACGGATCTCCCATGACTGGCGCAGGCCATCACCGGCCGCCATGAGCGCGCCGCAGCCCAGCGTGTTGGTGACGAGCAGCGCGCGGCCCTGGAATAGAAGCTGCCCCGCGGATAACAGGCGGCGCAGACGGCGCCAGCCACCCCGCGCCATAGCCCTCGGGAGCCAAGAAATCCGCGCGCCGCTCTGCTCTCGCCGCGCCGACCAGTCGCGAGTCACAGTCGATCCCAAATTGCCCGCCCCTCCGGCATCCCGACCAATGCATAGGGATCTTCAGTCCGCAGGTCCGCCCTGAGCCGCGCCGCGTCCATCAATCGCAGGCAGCCTCGGAGCGCCACATTGCCCGCCCCGAAGCGTATTGACCAATAAAAGGCAGACGTTCTATCCCAAGGTCGATCTCCCAGTGACCGCCCGAGGTTCACGGACCAATCGGAAAAAAGAATTGCGTTACTTCCCGCATGCCGATTGGTAACGCTGCACTCCTGTTGCCCCGCCCCTTTCTGTGCCAGCCTATGGGAAACCGTCGCAGCTACCGAACAGCCCAGTATGGCCCTGGCCAATCGTAGACCGGTGTCACGCGGGCAAATCAGTGACCGTCGTCCCGCCTCCCGCTTTGAGGTTGGACAATCTTAGGAAGTTACAACGCCTTCTGGCCTGGTTGCCTTCCGTATTTCCGGATTCTCCTGGACTTAACCAAAAGGGATGTGATCTGTCACCAGGACAGCTACCGAGGTGGACTCCAATCCTGTAAAACACATTCATGGAACTTGGGGTGGGGTACAGTTCTGCTGCGGCTCAGCCCAGTTGGAGCCCGGTCCAGAAAATGACCTTGGGCCTGACCTTGACTGGTTCTCTTATCTCAGGTTCCGAATAATGATAGTAATTGAAGTGTTAGTCACTGTTCTGGGCATACGATTCACGTTGACTCCTTCCAAGCGAATTTGTGCTCTTGCAGAAACAATTGTATCCTAATTATACCGTTCCGTAGGGAAAAATGATTTTTTTCTTTTCTTTTCTTTTTTTTTTTGAGACGGAGTCTGGCTCTGTCGTCCAGGCTGGAGTGCAGTCAGTGGCCAGATCTCAGCTCACTGCAAGCTCCGCCTCCCGGGTTTATGCCATTCTCCTGCCTCAGCCTCCTGAGTAGCTGGGACTACAGGCGCCCGCCACCTCGCCTGGCTAGTTTTTGTATTTTTTAGTAGAGACGGGGTTTCACCATGTTAGCCAGGATGGTCTCGATCTCCTGACCTCGTGATTCGCCCGTCTCGGCCTCCCAAAGTGCTGGGATTACAGGCTTGAGCCACTGCGCCTGGCCCATTTTTTTCTTTTCTTCTTTTTTTGAAATGGAGTCTTGCTCTGTCACCCAGGCTGGAGTGTAGTGGCACGATCTCCGCTCACTGCAACCTCCGCCTCCCGGGTTCAAGCGATTCTCGTGTCTCAGCCTCCCAAGCAGCTGAGATTACAGGTGTCGTGCGTGTCCGTGTGAAGAGACCACCAAACAGGCTTTGTGTGAGCAACCTGCCTGTTTATTTCACCTGGGTGCAGGCAGGCTGAGTCCGAAAAGAGAGTCAGTGAAGGGAGATAAGGGTGGGGCTGTTTTATAGGATTTGGGTAGGTAAAGGAAAATTACACTCAAAGGGGGTTTGTTCTCTGGTGGGCAGGAGTGGGGGTCACAAGGTGCTCAGTGGGGGAGCTTTTTGAACCAGGATGAGCCAGGAAAAGGAATTTCATAAGATAATATCATTGCTTAAGGCAAGGACCGGCCATTTTCACTTCTTTTGTGGTGGAATGTCATCAGTTAAGTTGAGGCAGGGCATTTGCACTTCTTTTGTGATCTTCAGTTACTTCAGGCCATCTGGGTGTAGACGTGCAAGACACAGGGGATGCAATGGCTTGGCTTGGGCTCAGAGGCCTGACAACAGGCACGGGCCACCACGACCAGCTAATTTTGTATTTTTGGTCTAGACAGCGGTTTTACCATGTTAGCCAGGCTGGTCTCGAACTCCTGACCTCAAGTGATCCACCCGCCTTAGCCTCCCAAAGTGCTGGGATGACAGGCATGAGCCACCGCAAGTGGCTTGAAAAATGATTTTCAATGGAAACCCCTATGCATTCTCTACTAGAGTAGCAAACTACTGCCTGTGGGTTGTTACCTGTTGAAGGTGTCCAGGTTCTTGGCATCTTGAACAAAGAATTGAACAAAGTGCACAAACAAAGCAAGGAAAGAATGAAGCTTAACAAAAGCAGAGATTTATTGAAAATGAAAGTACACTCCACAGGGTGGGAGCCAGTGGAACATAGGGACTCGAGAACTGTTTAGGAATTTTCTGGGGTTTGGCCGGGCGCTGTGGCTCACGCCTATAATCCCAGCACTTTGGGAGGCTGAGGCGGGTGGATCACAAGGTCAGGAGATCTAGACCATCCTGGCTAATACGGTGAAACTCTGTCTCTACTGAAAATACCAAAAAAAAAAAAAAAAAATTAACCGGGCATGGTGGCGGACACCTGTGGTCCCAGCTACTCAAGAGGCTGAGGCAGGAGAATGGCGTGAACCCAGGAGGTGGAGGTTGCAGTGAGCCGAGATCGTGCCACTGCACTCCAGCCTGGGCAACAGAGTGAGACTCCATCTCAAAAAAAAAAAAAAAAAAAAAAACAAGGCTGGCACGGTGGCTCATGCCTGTAATCCCAGCACTTTGGGAGGCCGAGGTGGGCGGATCACAAGGTCAGGAGATTGAGACCATCCTGGCCAACATGGTGAAACCCTTGTCTCTACTATAAATACAAAAATTAGCTGGCTATGGCGTCAGATGCCTGTAATCCCAGCTACTCGGGAGGCTGAGGCAGGAGAATCACTTGAACCTCAGGAGGTGGAAGTTGCAATGAGTCGAGATCACACCACTGCATTCCAGCCTGGTGACAGAGCTAGACTCCATCTCAAAAAAAAAAAGAGTAAGAAAAAGAAAAAACCTGATTAACTTCAGGTTACTTTTTTTGGTAAGTGTTAAAGCAGAGGGGACTTCCTTATTGGGCTAACTCAGGTAGACTAAAATCAATTTTTAGGAAAGACAGCCGGGCACAGTGGACCCTGCCTATAATACCAGCACCTTGGGAGGCTAAGGCAGGAGGATTGCTTGAGGCCAGGAGTTCAAGACTAGCCTGGGCAACTGGGCAGAACCTCATCTCTACAAAACAAATATTTTTTTTTTAAATAAAAAACTGATCTGTTTGGGATATGTCTGCTTCCTCAAAGTTTCAGTTTGATTATGTGGCACTTAGCACAAGTGACTCCATTCTTATTTCATCTGGTCTGTTGGCGCCTAGTGCAGGAGCTCAGTCCAAAACAGTGGTCTCCCATAGTTTTGTTTGACATTGATCTGAACATTTGGTAATCTATAAATGGATTACTGGTTGCTGAGAGACACTGGTGGATAAATTAAGAATTTATTGCCTGGGCACGGTGGCTCATGCCTGTAATCCCAGCACTTTGGGAGGCTGAGGCAGGTGGATCACTTGAGGTCAGGAATTTGAGGCCAGTCTGGCCAACATGGCAAAAACCTGTCTCTACGAAAAATACAAAAATTAGCTAGGTGTGGTGGTGCATGTCTGTAATCTGAGCTACTTGGAGGCTGAGGCAGGAGAATCGCTTGAACCTGGGAGGCAGAGGTTGCACTGAGCCGAGATCATGCCATTGCACTCCAGCCTGGGCAACAGAGCAAGATTTCATCTCAAAAAAAAAAAAAAAAAAAAAAAAAAAAAATTTATTGCTTGGCTGGGCTCAGTGCCTTATGCCTGTAATCCTACCATTTGGGACCTGGACGCGGGAGGATCACTTGAGGTTAGGAGTTGGAGATCAGCCTGGGCAACATGGTAAGACTAGGTAACATGGTAAGACTGGATAACAAAATCATCTGGGTACGGTGGCGCACACCTGTAGTCCCAGCTACTTGGGAGGCTGATGTGGAAGGATCGCTTCAGTCCCAGAGGCTGAGGATTCAGCTGGCTGAGATGGTGACACTGCACTCTGGCCTGGATGACAGAGCGAGACCCTGCCTCAAAAAGTAAAATAAAAAATAAAATTAAGAGAATTTATGGTACTGGGTGCAGTGAGTCATGGCTGTAATTCCACCACTTTGGGAGGCCAAGGCAGGCGGATGACCTGATGTCAGGAGTTCGAGACCAGCCTGGCCAACAAAGTGAAATCCTGTCTCTACTAAAAATACAAAAATCAGCCAGGCATGATGGCAGGTGCCTGTAATCCCAGCTACTTGGGAGGCTGAGGCGGGAGAATCACTTGAGCCCAGGTGGCAAAGATTGCAGTGAGCCAAGTGTTAGGCAGGGATCTAGACCTGACATGGCAGCGCCACCTGGTGTAGCAGGCCCTTTGTTAGAGACTTCCCTTCCTCTTTGAACACACCCGCAGACTTGCATACGTCAGAGGTTCCAGCTGGGCAACCACACTTCCCCATGACCTGCAGCTCACCTGCATTTCACAAGTTCGTAAACAGCAGTTTCGGTTAACAGTTTCCAAAGACCCCTTCCTCATGACCCTTACTCGACTCCTGCCCTAGTAGTTTCAAGACCCCCCAGGCTCTGTTTGTACAACCAGCTTCCCTACCTCTCGGGCTATAAAAAAGACCCTACCCTCCTCCCTCAGAGCGACTTCCTCGGCCCGCACCTTTGGACCGAGGAACCTCGCCCACGAGTCCTAATAAAGGCTATTCTCACTGCCATTTGCCTTGTGTCTTCGTTCCCGGTTTGGCTCCAGCCTCAGTTTACCTTTACATTTGGTGCCGAAACCCGGGAGGAGACCCCTCCCCCAGACCCCTGCCGGGTTGGGCAGGCTCTCCTCTCCCTGAGCCAGGACCTTCTTTCCGAGCCAGGAGCCGTTTCACCAAATCCAAGACTCAATTTGATCACTGCTGGGTAAGTTTTCCCCCGTCCTGTAGGCCCCCTCTGGGAAGTCCCTGTCCAAAACGCGTGGCCATGTCGGGGGCTCCCTCTGGTCAACTGTGACCTTGGCACCAGGGACAAGGAGACATCCAACCTCCCCGGAAGCTGCCGTACCCCGCACTCCGCGTGGCAGTAGGAGGACGCTCCCATTGCCTCCGGACTGCCTGTCTTAGGACCATGGGAACTACCCAGTCCAAACCAGACCGAAAATCCCCTCTGGGGTGCCTCTTGGCGAATCTCCAGACTTTAAGTCTCAGCCAAGACGTAAAACAAAAGCGGCTCATTTTCTTCTGCACAATAGCATGACCG